TAATAGAATTACAAAGATTTCTTCTTAGCCAATGGCTAAAAGTAGCATTCTCATACTTCCTCTCTTTTTATAAAAGATAACCTAGTCTTTCAATTGTAACTCTCTGTTCTACTCTATTGTGATCCAATCTTCTCTTATTCATCCACATTATCAATCTAGAGACTGAGCATTTTATAGACCAAGTAGACTTTGAATTTGTTGCATATTAATACTCCTTATAAGTATTAATACTCCACCGTCTCTGATCTAGCTTGATCTATATAAGTCTTCAGGGAAGTTGAATAAGGATAGCGCTTTAACTTTGAGGATAACAACCCGATTATATCCTCTCTAATTAGGATAAGCCTTAGTGATAGAAAGAACTTAGCTGATGATAAACACCAATTAAAAGAGGCAATCAAACAATTCTCCCTTATCAAATTCTTTGGGTGTTACAAATTCCTTTTTTTTTTAATATCAATCATTAAACTTGGGGTAGATATCACCTTGGTCACCATGTCTAACAAGTTATCTTTCATATAAACTTTGTCATATTGTAGTAACTTGTCCTCTAGATTATTTCGAAACCTATGGTGTCTAATGAGCTCTGACTATAAGTGGAACATGGAATTCTTTTGGTAGATCTATCAACTCAAAAGTATGGTTAAGATGTAATAACTCCTCATGTTCCATGGTTTTGAGCCATTGTCTCATTCATGGCTTCTTCAAATCATTCAAGTTCTTGTTCAATTGTGAAGACCCCATATTCATTTAAAAAGTATTAAGTGACTATTGTTCTTTCTTTAGCAGTTTGCCTCAACCAACGCTCCTTCATAGACTAAAATTTTTAAAGATTCTCCTATTCCTCTTGCTTCTGGATTTTTCTTCCAAGCAACTTCTTTGGTTTTAGCTTCTGGCATAGCTTCCCCAAAAATATGTATCACCATAGAGGAGGCCTCAAAGTCAAAATTGGTGGAGATTTTGGGCTTTGGTTTCTCTGCTTTGTCTATGTCTTCCAAGTTTTGAGCCTAGGTTACGTATAGAGCTCCCTCCTTTATTCCACAAGCAATTATCAAAGTTCTTTTAGCAAGCCTCCACTTACTATTGCCAAACTAGTGTGTAAATCTCACATCATCAAGTTTTTTAATAGAGATGAAGTTCAGACATATGTCTAGAATGTTCCTAACTTCTTTCCAAGTGACGTTAAAGCCAATGCTTGTCAAGAAAGTGACATCTTCAATGCTTGCAATCTTACTTGTGACCTAATATTCCAACTTGATAGTAGTAAACTCATTCTTCTAGTGAGTTGAGAAGAGACTTATACGAGGGTTGATATAAAAGGAGGTTTAGAGTCAATAATCCATGTGAATCATCATTGACAACACTAGAACAATTTTCATCACTGATGATAAAGATTTGTTTGTCTTAAGTGACAATTTTAGTGCTTTTGTCATCTTCTTTCCCCTTCAATTTGGTCAAGCTTGGCATTACTAGCTTTTTTATCTCTCTTAAAGAATCTGCATTCAAATTTCTTGCAGCCAGCCTTCTTATAATAGTGACAAATGAATTGGGGCAAGACTTTGATTGCCTTCTAGACCTATCACAAGTTGGCCCTCCTATTCTGCCATAATATTCATTTATTTTTACGTATTCAATGAGATTGGCATCAAATTGGCTAGTAACACCTTGTTCCTTTCTCCTTTCTTCTTCACTAACTAGGCAATCATTTTGGAGCAAAATTGTTGATTGTAACAATGAATGTCCTAGCTTTTAAGCAGTGAGCTAAGAAATAGCAAGGCTTGTATCTCGTCTACGATATTCATGTCAATCTTGCCAAGCTAATTTATGATTTCTTTGAAACTACTTAAATGCACTATCATGCCATGTCCATCTTTGTATTCAATCTTTACCAACTTTCTCATCAAGCTTGCTTTCAACTCAGATGTCATTTTTTGAATCATAGTTCAAGTTTTGTCAAAACTTATAAGTGTTAGTGTAAGATAATATGTACTTCAATAAACTCCTATCACTGTACAACAACTTTCCAATTTAGGGTTTTTCAATCCTCTTCACTCTTCTTTGTTGGTTTGGTTTTTTTGAGGATGGGCTCATACAAGTCTTTGCAGCATAAGTGATCTTCAATAATTGACTTTCAATAGGAGTTGTCTGCAATTAATTTGAAAATAATCTCAGTCATGAGAAACATAAACATTCATCTTTGTAGATCCTTGTGGCTAAGCAGTTTTTGAAACCGAAAATTGGATTAAAACTCACAAATTAGGTTGAACATCTAAACTAGGTTAAATCAGTTTGGCTGCTTTAAACGACGATAAATTGTTGAATCAAGGTGATCCAGTCTGAACAAGGTTGGACCATGTCGTACCTCTGAACTAGGTTCACTACTAAATTGGGTTGAACCAACTGAGCTGCAAAGCCAGTTTAACCCTTTAACTCTTTCTACACACACTGTTGCTATCAATGCTTTCTCTCTACATGTTACCGCTTCTTCTGAACTTTGCTTTCTCAATTCTCTGTTCTCACTTTGACCAAAAAACTTCATTGGCTACAACTGTTGTCCTCTCTTCTTTGGCTGGAACAACTGCTATAATAAGATCAACCTTCGTTTCTTCAATCCAATTGAGATTCAAAACTCTACATCTTCATCTTGTTCTTCATTGTTTCGGCATAGGGCTTCTTTATTGATCTTCTTCATCCATAAACCTGCCTGGATTTGGAGAGTCCAAATAGTTTGTCTCTGTTCCTCTTATTCTCCACTTTGACTTCCCGATGTCTTCACCAATGCTCAAAAGACATTAACAAATAAATTAATTAGCCCTCCTCATAAAAATTCAAATAAATGAATAAAATTCAAAAAATAATAAAAACGCTATATTTTTAATTTCAAACGAAGATAGGAGTAAAAGCCACCTCCTGGTGCTAGTTTTTGTATAAGTCTTACATTTATAGCGGAATTTGTTTGCATGTGTTTGGTAGGTGAGAGACGGCTAGGGTACTAGCCGGAGATGCCAGCCAAATTGGACCCTATACACTTTTACCTCTTATTGGACCTTCTTATTTTGTGGTGGAGCATTTAATTTTTCCCATTTCTTTTTTCTCTTCGTTTTCCTTAGACTGCTTATTACACTATTTTATTCTGAAATATTAATAGATTCAAATATTAGGTTGTCTCTCTTTGCCTTAACAATCTTATCAGAAGTTTAAAAAATGAAATATATCATAATTATTTTTAATAATAAAGATGTAATAATAGGAATTTGATTTTTTAAAATTTTTATGATTACTTAAGTTTTTTTCCCCTTGAATGTTTAAATTATTATTAACTTTAATATTTTTCTGTTTAGCTTATTTGGAGTTTAATTTGCACAAATTTTTAGCAAAGTTTCATAAAAGTCCATCAGAAAACTTTAGGAGAACATAAGAGAAAGAAGAGCATCCCAATTCCTATGGACACTCCCAGCTTGATTTAACGGTCCCAAGAAGACACCCAAAGGAAGGACTTGCTCAGGATTATGGGTCATAATATTTTGTTAGTTTTCGTATTTTATGTGACTCATGTTAATATTTTATTTTTTAATTAAAATTATCAATAATTTATTTATAATAAAAATAAAATTAAACATATTAAATAAACTATTATTGTGTCAAGTCGAAATCTTAATTTTAAAAACAATAAATAATTATATCATCATATTGCGGGTGTTTTCAATTAATCTCCCTTTACTATGCATCACCTTCTCCAACAATTTGGTGTTGGTATTGTTCCTGAATTTTTTTATATTAACATTAATGATTTTTATTTACTAAATAAGCATATTTTAGATTATTTATTAGAATATGTAAAATCGGATTTTTTATACAAAAGTTGGTTCTCCAATTTTACTAATCCATCGGGCCAGCCAAATTGGGCCTCATAAAGATTGGGGCCCACTAAGGCATCCCATGAATTGGAAGTATTTTCACGAAACTCTGGATGAGAATGAATTGAATAGAGGCCATCATAAAACAAATAAAATAGAAAAATAACCTGTTCTTATCCTTAAAAATCCCAATCACTCACGCAACGAGAGAAGGAGATTGCACATTCATCTTTCTCAAATTTTTATTTCAAAAATTATTTATTTATTTATTTTTCACTTCAACATAATGGTTGTTTTGATAAATTATTAAAAATAAAATGAAAATAAACTGAGAGTTATGAACTTTAAGATTTTATCTACATCCTTAATTTAGTTCTTAATTACTTAATATGTGTGAATAACTGCGATAAGTCATTTACTTTTTGTACTTTTTTACATAAATAAATTGAATTTGATCTCATAAAATACAACCCTAGAGAAGAACAACAATGCATATCAAACAAAATTAATATTAGACTGTGAAATGAATAAAAATGTCTTTAGTTTTTACCTTTATTTTTATTTTTTTTTTCTTTTTATTTTTGCCCAAAAAATAAAAAATTAAATTGGACCATCTGTTTTTCTATTAAAAAAAAACAAAAAAAACAGAAGGCCATCCATGAAAAATACGGATTCCAATTATAGGAGATAACGCTGCCAACTGAGAATCTACCCTTCTTATCCTTTAAACATTTCCCAAATTTTTGAAACATGTATTAATTAATTAATTAATTAATATATAAGTAAAAAGCCGTGTGCCCAATTCCATGAGTAGCTACCAACCCTAAAAAAGTCATGGGTAGCCTTCAAAAGCTAATGATATGGAGAAAGTGGCTATAAATAAAACAAAATTAAATGGGGGAGACGGCCAATCAGTCAACTTCCGAGGGGAGTGTGAAGGTCATTTTAAGAAGCAGGGGGAAGAGAGTTTGTGTTGTACTTGTACTTGTAGACCATTACATTTCAAAGAGGAGTAGGAGTGAACACACACACACACACACACACACACACACACACACACACACACATATATATATGTATGTATTTATGTATGTATGTATGTGAATAGAACAGGAGGCTTGAATTGAAGAGTGAAGTTGTGCGATGGGAAAAGAAAGGATGGGAATGGAAGGAGAAGAAAAGAGTAAGATAATGATAATTGGGGCAACTGGTTATCTTGGAAATTACATGGTGAGGGCTAGCCTTTCCATGGGCCATCCTACCTTTGCCTACGTCCGCCCACTTCCTCCACCGCCTTCACCACCACCACCACCACCACCACCACCATCAAGTCATTCCTCTCATGCTCTACCTAATTCCAATAATAAGCTCCTCCTCCTTCAGGAATTTCGGTCCATGGGAGTCACCATTATTTACGTATTAATCCATCTCTCTCTCTCTCTCTCTCTTTCTCTCTCTCTCTCTCTGTACATACATATGTTCTTTAAATATATTTCCTTTACAAAAAAATTAAAACTAAAATGGAATTTTGGATCTGTAAGTCGAGTGGTAATTTTGTATATTAATTTGTTATATGCATGTTGAATGCAGGGGGAATTGGAGGAACATGCGAAGCTGGTTTCGGCACTTAGACTCGTAGATGTGGTGGTATCAACGCTTCCAGTCCCTCTCCACCTTCAACAACTCAACATCATCACTGCCATTAAAGAGGCTGGCACGATAAAGGTATAATAAAAATTATGTATTTATTTTTTGAATATGTAACTTTTAAATTGGTGTTAATATATATTTTTATAAGCAGAGATTTGTACCGTCAGAATTTGGAAATGAAGTGGACAGAGTTAGAGGGTTGCCGGCGTTCCAGGAGCTGTTGGATAATAAGAAGAAGATAAGAAGGGCAACAGAGGAGGCAGAAATCCCGTACACTTATGTCTCTGCCAACTCCTTTGCTGCCTATTTTGTTGATTATTTGCTCCATCCTCGTCAAACTTCTCACCATCTCACCGTCTATGGCTCTGGCCAAGCTAAGGGTACCTACATCATCATCATCATTTATCCATTGTTTCCCAGCTTTATCCTTCTGCTAATTGAAATCATTTTTGAAAAAACTGGGCCCGTATTTTCTACATGTTGAAATGAAGAATTCATTTTAAATTGTAAAAAATAATTTATAAATTATATTTAATTTATATATAAAAAAAAGGATTTAGAACTATAGCTTTGATAATAAACTCATAATGGAACTCATGCTCAAGTAACAATCATGTATTAAAATAAATGACAACTCTAATAGATGAAAAATGCCGTCATGTGGTTGCGGCTAAAATTTCCCCTGATGGAAAACTTTATTAATTTACATTTTCACATATATTACTATATCACTTTTCATGAACCAAAAATACAAACACACCAACCATGGTGCGGCAACTGAGGTTCAAACATGCCCCGACTCAGCCTTCTTCATCAAATGGAACATTGTTTCAGATACCGTGCGAAAGTTGTTTGCATGCTTTAAAATATCCCAAAACCACTACCACGTGAGACATGCACGTGCATGTGTTACACTCAATGTCATTTTCACGTGCAGGTGTGGTTTCGTGAACACGTGTCTGATTTTACTGTTTTTGGATTATGAAAAATTAAGGTAATAATATAGATAAATAACATTTCACTTTTTAAAAATTTTAATTTTAATTTTATACTCCCTGCAAGCATATAAAATAAATATTTTATTTATAAATATTAAATTTATAATATTTACCCATCTCAGTTAATATTTTAGTAAAATATTCTTTAAAAATTCTATTTTAAAATGATATAAATGACTTTGCAAATATTAATAATGATTTTAGACAATTGAAATGATGAAAGATTAATCACATTTATATCTTAAAAAAATACTATCCTGTTTAAAAATACAATTTTCCATGAATATTTTCCTTAAATATTTATTGGAAAAAATGTTATAAAATTAATATTTATAAGAGTAAAAAACTTTTTACGTACTTCTAAGGAGTATGATATTAAAATTTAAATTTTTTGAAAGTTAAAATATTATTTATCTTAATTATATATGTGGAAATGTTTAAATTAAAAAAAAAATTCCAATGATAGAAATGAGATACATGTTTATGAAACCCCACCTCCACGTGAAAAATGACATTCAGTCAACCTCAGTTGTGGCGTGTTCTAAACGAATTGCTATTGGACCATTCCTTCTTTTTCTTTTTTTAGCAATATCTGTCAATTTCAAATTAAATATTTTTATTTGTCAGACATACGAAACGTATGTGAAATACAGTCTCTGTGACGGGACACACGTGAAAAAAAAAATGAGCGAAGGCTTTCAAAAAAAAAAAAAAAACTATTTTTTATTTTATTATTTTGACGGTTGAAATGAAGGTAGATAGACTTAAAAACACTCTTCACTCTATATTTAATGAAATGATACTCAGCTTTAATTTTATACTGAAAAACATCATCCTATTTTGGTGCAAAATTAACTGACGGCAAGTTAACATTTAACAGTTCTGTTAGATTTCATCTAATTATTGTTAGATAGAGTTAACTTGAAATATGAAATGTAATCTTATCATTTTCTTAAAAGAGTTAAGTATTTTTTTTGGTATTCCTAAAATCAATTATTTGTAAATATAAAAATAAAAAAAGATATTTTAGCAATTTTTTCACCAAAACACTCACATGAAATGTTGAAACAACATTAAAAAATCATAAAATTTAAAATTTTAAAAATTAAAATATAATAAAATTAGATTATTCTGAATGTTTTTAAAATTTTAATTTAAAAACTAAAAATCAGAAATTAAAAAAAATTCTACTTTCTTGCAAAAGTTAAATTATTTTTTGTTTCATACCCTAAAAAAATTTTGTTTGTAAAAATATATAAAAAAAAAAAACAGATATTTTGGCTAGTCTTTTATTAACACGATCATTTTAAATGCTGAGATATGACTAAAAAAATTATAAAACTCAAAATTTAAAAATGAATAATTAAATTATGAAAAGAGATTTTTCAACTTTTTAAAATTTTTAATTTAAAAACTAAAACTCTATTTTTTGAAAAAAAATAACTTTTATTAATAAATGAAACGACTTGTTGATATTTTCCAAATACAATGAATGTTTTTATTTTATATGATACGAATTTTATTTTATTTGTATACAATATGTTTTATAACATGTATTAACCAAAAAATTTAATTTGATTTTTCTAGATTAACATTACACAATGACAATCTGATGTAAATTAATAAAAACATTAATTAACCGTTATTCTATTTAGGTTAAAGAATATAAGTGTTTTTTCTGCATCAGAATGAGACTAGGTATAATTTATGCAAATCTTGAGAGTGGAGAGTTTTCTACCCAGTTAAAATTTAAATTCAAGTTGCAATTATTAAATTCAAATAGCTATATAATTATAGAAAGATTAATAATTATAATTCTTAGAAATTGAATAACATAGACTGTTTATACTATTACAACTTAAACAATTATGACATTTTAAATTACGCATTTCTATATTTTATAAAAGTATACAATTTTTACCGATGAGATAAATAATATTTTTGTCTTTGAGATTTTATTATTCCAAAAGATTATTCTAAAGGGGAAGCTAATAGCGATTTCAATATTACTATCTTAACTTTGCAATTTTGGTTCAATAAATTTATTCTATATTAACTTGTTTGTTCTAACTAACAAAATTTGTTCACATGATTAAAAATTAGATAAAAAAAAACGAAGTAATATTGATTTAGCCAAAAAGAAAAGGTGAAAATAACAAAAAGGACTGATAGAGAACGTAAAATAAAAATTAATTTGCAGAATTCAAGAAAAATATTTTAAAATTTAAATAAAATCAAGGACTTAATAGATTGTTCGTTTCTTTAAATTATTGATGAAGTACAATATGCATGACGTGGCAGCGGTCCTAAATTACGAGGAAGACGTGGCAGCATACACGATCAAAGCCGCCACAGATCCAAGGGCCAGGAACCGGGTGCTAATCATAAGGCCCCCCGCCAACATTGTCTCCCAGTTGGATTTGGTTTCTTCTTGGCAGATCAAGACTGGACGCACCTTTCATATTACTCACCTGCCTGACCAACGAATCGTCCAACTAGCTCGGAGTAGGTAATTTTAAATTAATTTCAAGAGAAAAAGGAAATATATATTAAAAATTACTTATTATTTGCAGGCTTGCCACAGCCGGACAACGTAGCAATGGCGATCCTTCACAACATATTCGTGGAGGGAGCTCAGTTAAGCTTTGAGCTGGAAGAGAAAGATCTAGAAGCATCCAATCTCTACCCTGACTACAACTACACTTCGGTGGATAGCCTCCTCGACATTTGTTTGGTCAATCCTCCCGACCCCAAATTAGCTACTTTTGTCTAAGTCTTTCTTTTCCTTATTTTCCGTTGTCAACCCCTGTAGTTTCAATAATTATGATTATTAAATTATGTAAGCCTTTCCTTTGTTATCTACTAAGAAAAATATTATTATTGTCAAAAACCCTCCTAGGATTATTTTTAGAATGTTTCATATTGTCAATGTGCCTGTTGAGATTTCACCGGAGCCATCCCTCTGGTCAAAGGGGAATGCATCATATTAAGTTGTAAAAGAATAATCTATTAGAGGGCAAAAAGGACATACTATTTTAGAAGAAAATAAGGATTTTGTGACAAAATATTTTGTTACTAAATCAAAACAATCTGCCAGTAAAACGAATTAGTGACTGATTTAGTGGGAAAAAAATTTGTTCAGTAACTGTCAGCCCTCTAAAATTTCTTTCTCTAATTTTGCAGGCGCCATCACCAAAAAATGTCCCCAATTTCCTTCGCTAAAATGTCCATCTCTAATTTTATGACCTAAACAACTCTTAAGGAATTACAGAGAGCAAGCTTGATGTTGCACGAATGCCCTGCAGGCAGTATTACGCATCAATCATCATGTCCCAAAAACTAAAACTGACTAGTCTACCCAAACAAGAGAAACAGGGAAGGGCAAATTCATCCAAAAAAACATTATCTCTAGTGGATTAATCACACAAGGTCATGGGAGCCATCTACGTTAGGATTCCCGGAAAGCCAATAATTAAATTTAAGTCCATAATTTAGGTATTGGGCTTTGTTATAAATTATGGAAAAGTCCAATACCTGAAAGTCATTGACATAAATTAGGAATCGATGAATATACACAATTTGTAATATTTAAAGACGTGTTAGATGGGCAAAAGCTGACACTAGAGAAGTCTTTGGAGTTTGAACTATGGTTTCTGTAATTTTTAAAGACGTGTTAGATGGGTAAAAGCTTATACTAGAGAAGTCTTTTGAGTTTGAACTATGATTTTTGAAATTTCTTACTTTATTACATATAAGTGCCAAAGATTTGAATATTCTCATTTTCAATTCTGAGATTGAAAGACCATTTCATAACCTTAGAAGAGAAATTCAAGATTTAAAGCCTACTAAAACAATGGCCGTAGAAAATTCTATAGGTGAAGTCTCTAAATCTCTAAGTGATTACATACTTTCATTGGTTGAAAAACAGAAGCATTGGACCTAATAAACAACTTATAAAACGACATAATTATAAATTATGAAAAAGTCCAATACCTGAAAGTCATTGAAACAAATTAGGTAACAATGAATACACGCAATTTATAATATTCAAAGGCGTGTTAGACATGCAAAAGCTGACACCGAAGAAGTCCTTTAAATTTAAACTATGATTTGCGAAATTTCTTGCTTTATTACATGTATAGTGTGAAAGACTTGAATATTCTCCTTTTCAACCTTGAGATTGAAAGGCCATTTCATGATCTTAAAAGAGAAAATTTTCAAGATTTAAAACCTACTAAAACAATGACCGAATAAAATTCTATTGTTGAAAGTCTCCAATTCTCTAAGGGATTACATATTTTCATTGGTTGAGGGGCTTTACTCAAGTATTAGAAAGCCAACAATTTAGGCAAATAGTTTCGAACTCAAGCCTTCAATCATTCAAATAAATTCAAAAGTCAGTTATACATGGTGAACTGTTCAATGATGATCCAAGTGCTCATATCACGAATTTTCTAGAAATTTAAGATAATTTATTAAAAAATAAACATATTTAATTTTTACTACATTGCACAAAAAAATTTTTGAGTAACTAAACAAGAAAAATTATAATTTCTTAAAAATTATTAAATATCTCAAAATCTGATCTTTTTTTGGTAACAAAAAAAATAAAGTATCAAAAATATAAAACATGGACTATCAAACAAGCCCTTGGTTGTACTTTGCTATTTTACCTTCAATGAATTCGTGGCGGAAGCTAATAATATGGAGGGAGTGGCTATAATAAGATTAAATGAAATGGGGGAAGGTGACATTCATTTTAAGAGGCGGAGGATGAGGGTTTAAAAGAGGAATAGCAGTGAATGTATATGTGGATAGAAGAAAGGATAGGGATGGAAGTAGAAGAAAAGAGTAAGATAACGATAATAGGGGCAACTGGTTATCTCGGGAATTACATGGTGAGGGCTAGCCTTTCCATAGGCCATCCTACCTTTGCCTACTTCCGCCCACTTCCTTCGCCGCCGTCACCACCCCCAGCACCGACTTATTCCTTTCAAGCTCTACCCAGTTTCAATAATAAGCTCCTCTTCCTTCAGGAATTCCAGTCCATGGGAGTCACCATTGTTTACGTATTTATCCATCTCCTTCTCTCTCTCCATCTCTCTCTCTCTGCATATATGTATTATTTAAAACTGTGTCCTTTACAAAATATTTTTCCAAAATAAAATTGGATTTTGGTTATGAATTCGATTGATAATTGCATGATGGATGGAGGGAGAATTGAGGGAACATGAGAAGTTGGTTTCGCCACTTAGACTGGTGGATGTGGTGGTATCAACGCTGCCAGTCCCCCTCCACCTTCAACAACTCAATATCATCACTGCTGTCAAAGAAGCTGGCAATATAAAGGTATAAATTAATAAATCATTTTTTTTGAATGTATAACTTCTAAATTGTTAATAATATATAATATCAAATAAAAAACAAAGCAGAAGTTTGTACCATCAGAATTTGGAAATGAAGTGGACAGAGTAGGAGGGTTGCCGGCGTTCCAGGAGCTGCTGAATAATAAGAAAAAGATAATAGGGCAACTAGGATTCTCGATTAATTAGATTTTAATCCAAATCCGATTTGAATCTCATTAAAATTTTAAAATTTTTAATTAATTAAAAATATTCGATAGATTAAACCTAATTATAAATATCTATAATTTAAAATAAGTGAATCAGATATAGAGTTAAATAATTCAATCTATTAAAAATCTGAATACGAATATTTTAATAATTTTTTTAATTAATAATCATATATATGTATACATATTAATAAATACTTTTATATATAATGTAATATATGCGACATTATGATTAATAATGCACTAATTTTTATTTGAGAAACATTTTATTTAATAGAATAATGTATATTTTTTCTAAACAATTCTAGAATATTCTTCTACTTTCCCTAATTTTAATTTTTTCATTGAGCATTTTATTTAATAATTAATTACTTTCAAAATTTCATGAAGTAATTAAATAAATTGATTACAAAATTTTCTAAATTCTAACTATAATACGAATAAAACTTGATAAATTTATAAAGTATTAGAATCCTATCATAACTTTTGTATTATATTACATAACAAAAGTTCTTCTTAATCATTTATAAATACAAATTTATTTTTGAATTTTATTTATATTTTAATAAAATCAAAGTAGTTAAAAATAAATATTAAATAAATTTTTATTATTAATAAATAACAATTTATTTGATTTTACATTTTTTTACTTATTAATTATTTGATTTTAATTATTGTTAGTTGTTATTAAGATCATATTTTTTATTTGGATTTCAAATTTTTATCGGATTCAAATATAACAGTGATAGGTAAAGATCCTATAAAATTTGGGATCAGATTCAATTATGTACATTTGTAATCAGATTTAAATTTAAATTATCCTAATTTGATATAAATTTAACTCGTTTACAATCTTAAGAGCAACGAAAGAGGCACACATACCATACATCTATGTCTCTACCAACTCCTTTGCTGCCTATTTTGTTGATCCATCCTGGACAAACTTCTCACCATCTCACCATCTATGGCTCTAGTCAAGCTAAAGGTAGGTACATTATTGTCGTTGTCATTGTCATTTTCCTAGCTCTATTCTTTCTGCTAAATAAATTAGTTTTCGAAGAAAATGGTCTAATATTTTCTTCATATTTAAACGAATAACAGGTTTTAAATTGTAAACAATTAATTTAAAAATTATATTTAATTTTCAAAAAAAAATATTTAAGTAACAGTGGGACCGGACTCTACACTATTAATATAGTAACACCTAACTTCTAAAATATAAAAGGTAATACTTTAATCCCTCAAACTTGTATTAACAGTTAAAAATAACTAATAGAATTAAGATATTAGTTTAAATTATCAAAACGTTCCTTAGATCATACATGCATACTATTCATAATTTAGCGAATATTTTCTATAAAATAACAACTTTTTTTGTAACAAAAAAATAGTTAATTAAAAAATTATCCCTCAATCAATTTATAAGATAATAGTTTTTATTATAATTTAAAAAAAAAGAATAACAGACTTGAAATTAATCTCTTAGCCTATATTGTTCTCTGTTAATAATTGAATAAATATTGTCTATTGAAAAATAGCTTTAATTATAACCAAAAAAATATAATTAATTTAGAAATCTATTCTCAATTAACCTAACAAATGACAGTTCTCACTGGAACAAAAAAAGTTATAATTAATTAAAAAATTTATCTCTCAATAATTACTTTCAAAAGAAATAAAGTGAATATAACTAAGAAATATTACGATAAATTAATGATAAAATTAGAAGGTATGATAATAAACTAAATGAAAATATTAATATTATTAATTTTGTAAATTATAAATATAAATTTAAAAATAAAGTTATTGTATTTTATATTTTAAAAAAATAAATTATCATGATAATAATTTGATTGTGGCAGCTCTCCTTTGAATGGTTTGATTATTTGTTAAGTTACGTCAATTCACCTCTGGTTGCAGCTAATTTCCAGTGATGGAAACACGTGTTCAGACTGAGGGCAACACATGCAACTGTTTATAGGGCTTGTCTAGGGTTAGTCAACCATGTACTACATGTATGTTAGTCATTTAATTAATAGCCATTGATTTTGATTAAAAATCATCTCAACCGTTGAAGTAGTACAATCCTCTTTTATTCATAAATATCCTGTCTCAAATTAAAAAGACAGAAATATCCTTATTTTTTTAAAGTAATTTTGATAAAAGAAAAACTAATTATTTACTCTTTAAAAAACTCCTCC